CGTGTCGTTATCGCGGTGTCTCCTCCTCCGATTCGTCGTTGCTTGAAGAGACTCTTCATCTGAGACGCGCGAGGGACTTATTATATCGATCGATCGATTACAAAGAGACGTAGCTTTACAAGTATACGTAGGAAAAGCGAGGCCAGGAGCAGACGTGTTCGAGCGAGATTTTAGGCCGTGTACACTTCGACCGTTCGATGTTTCCGCGTGTCGCGGTTACACGTATACTAAAAAAGGGAACCGCCGTTCGGGCCGACAGAGTGTCGCGGAAACATTCCAGTAAGCGCGACGACGAATGGAAAATGAAGAGGCTCTCGAGATGACGGTTAAAAATAGAAAAACTGTACAACGTATACAAACTTCGGCGGTTCGCGCGATTACGTGAAACTACGAAACCCAGGAGCTCTCGTTGAAACGATGAGGAAAAGCTCGACGCGAGTTTCGCGGCAATGATTACAGATGGGATGGCTCGTTCGTCTCCGTTCGTCAGTCTGACCTCTTCGCGGTTCGGTCTTCACGGAAACGGCCTAGGAAACGAAAGACAGAATCGGCGCTCGTTGTTTACAACGGGCGGAGCCGTTCGGTATGTACGTGTCTATCCCGTCATCTCTCAGGGCGTCCTTTTCCCCGGGCACGAGCTTCGTGAACGACACCGTTCGTTCGTTCGTTCGATAACGTCAACCAGCATCGATCCCTTCGACGCGTGCGGATATCAGTAACGCGGAAGCCTCGTGCAGCGGGTACTTCCGTACGGGTTCAGAGTAAGTCGTTGTACGTGATTCGGATGCGAGATGACAAACGCGTGGTCCTCGTACTCCCTCCCTCCCTCCCACCCTCCTCCTGCTGCTCGCGAGGGGAGTTGTAATAGACGCGAAGAATGAATCCCCTCGACTCTCGTGGACTCAACGTGGAATGTTTGTGGTACGAGTAACTTCGTATCTCTCGGATCAAGGAACCGAAGCGGTAGGAACCTCTCGGGTTTCCTCCAGAGATTTAGCTTCTTTATCGGATCCGCCTGTGTGGAAAAAAATTCTCTCTCTCTCTCTCTCTCTTTCTCTCTCTCTCTCGAGCACATCAGGGTCGCTCTGACTAGGTAATTAGCGAGTCCTAGATGACAGACGGACCGCCCGATGTTCGCTCTCTTTCTCTCTGTTTTCCTCTCCTCAAGGAGAGACGACGCGTCTGAAGCCAGTTGAAGGGAAGTGGCAAATTCGTGAGATCCATGAGGAATGGGGAAGTTGTGATGTTCCGTGCCGATCAGCCGATTGATAGCCCGCTCACGTTACGATCCCGTTTGAGGATTCGGCGAGCGTCGCGGTTACACGAGGAAACCTTGCGAGGTGGCGGACATCTGCGCTCGCAGCGCCGTCACGCTGTTCATGATCTTCTTCTGGTGGCCCACCAGTGTGATGCCGAGGGAGGTAAGCTCCTGGACGGTGACGCGCGCCGCCGCCTCCAACGTCGTCACCCCCGCGCGCTCAAAGCTCTCCGCGTACCGCGACATCTTGATGGAGGCCAGCCACTCGCTGACCGACGTCAATTGCGTCAGGTCCACCGCGTCCGGCGCCAGCGGATTGGTGCCCCTGTCGAGAACAAGGAATTAGAATGTGCGTTCTGCTCTTGCACAGGGGTGACGTTCGTGAGTACGTAGAGTGAAGTACGTAGAGAAAAAAATTAGTATCAATTCAAGATTCATATTCTCAGATATATATATATATATATATATATATATAAGCAAAAATATATAATCTTATATTAAATCTTATTATATTTAAATTATGATTTTATATTAATCTTTCTTATATAAACCTGCTTACACACACACACACGCGCGAAGAAATTCTATATTCATTAAAAATATCTTCATATTCTTTATTATTCGAGAATAATTTGTTATGAACTTGATATTAAAAATAATATTTCTACATTATGATTCTAATATTTGGGAATATTATATTATGAAGTAACAATTTCAAAATATTTAAGATATTATGTTAAAATGTTTTCATATAATCCACGTAAAACCAGTTAATCAATGTTTCAAAAGATTCGTTTAATATGGTATTCAAGGTTGGTTTTTTGCTTACTGAGATCGTCTTTTCTATTCAATAATTTTTCTTTTCAATTTAGGAAAATTATTTGAATAACAAGAATATATTTTCAGTGGAACTATACAGAATTTCTTCATGTAAGCAAGCTTTATCTTATACATGAGAATATGAGTCTCGAATTAACACTTAAATTTTTTTCCATGTAGGGACTCGGAGGGAACAGAGATGCGTTTGGGGAGTCGCGAGATCTCGGGGTTTTTCAGATCGTCGATCTGAATGCTAGTGCACTCGTTTTCTGGCTATTGACACACATTCACATTCGCATGGTCTAAACGTACGATAGTTATGATAGTTGGTAACTATGATAACTATGATAATTACGAGATAGTTCTGAAGGTAATCTCGGCACGTTTGCTATCGTCGTATCGCCGAGAAGGGTGAAATAGCGAAGATCGTTGGATCTTTTTGACGTTTCCCAGTTGACACACACGCGCGATCGCTCGTATCTTCGCTTTTTCGTGAGACATCGGGGCACAAGACGATTACTCATTCACGAGTGTGGGGAATTTAATTCATCTATCGGCAATTCCTAGTACGGACGGGGTCGAACGATCACGTTTTACGACGATCAGTGTACGTATCTATCAGTGATGCTGATTGTAAAGCACAACCGAACTTTTTCTCCGATTTTCTATACGCCAAGAGGGAGGTATATACAGACGTGTTCAGATACGTTATGTACAGTTCTCGAAAGAGGGGATGTCTTAAAACATATATATATATATATATGTACACAGGATAATTACAGTCTGGTTGTTCGAACGTAAAGAATAAATTGGTCGAAACGGAAAACGAGCGGTTAGAATAGCCATCGGGAATTCGGATGTGAATTACTCCGCTCGTATAATTTATTCGACAGAAATTTTCGATGACATATAATAAGAGGGAACGTATATAAAAACGAATCTTATCCTAGACGAGAATCGCTACTTAAGTATATACATTTGGAGCAGCGATCTCCCAAGCCATTTCCTACGGATGTACGCGGCGTGTATGACGACGATCGATCTCGTATACATTCCAAAAATTATGAATTCTTTCCGAAACCGAGAGAGAAAAAAGGTCCCTCGATCTCCCATGTATACGACCGATTCGTCTGATGCGTTCTTTTATACAACACTATGTACACGCTAAGATACATAAATTATGGGTGCAAGCGTACAATTTCTTTTTGTTTCGACAATGGACGACAGTTAAAAGTAGAATTAAAAATAACAACTAAGGTATATATATATATATATAAAGGTAATGGTAAATTATCAGAAGTAAGAGTAACGATATAGAGTAATACAAATAATAGTACAACTAATAGTAATACAAACATAGTACAAATATATAGAAAATAATGATAACGATAATTACGATGACATGACGTGACGATAACGAGGACGATGATAATAGTGCTAATCGCTAATGACAGTGCTGAATCGGCGAGCGTAAGAGTGGTACATGTGACGTGTGTTAGTGGTGGTACACGGTGGACTCTTAGGTTCAGGTGTGTATGTACACGTGGATGGATCTGTTGCGATGCCTATGGAAGCAAGCAGTGCGACACAAAACTAAGGAGGATATACAAGCAGGGTGGTCGCAATCTACGTGGCGGCGGTATCTCGTTATCGTATCAAAGAAGCAGAGAGAACCTGAAAGCACAGTCTCGATTTTAATTCGAATTCGACGGAAAACTTCTCGAAAGGGCGATCTTTCGTACGTCTGGGGGCAAAACCGGACGAAACGAGAAACGATTGCGCTATGTTCTTCTACACTTCTTTTCCTTTTATGTTCTTTTCTTATTTTTTTTTTGGACTCTCATCCGCGCAAAGGGGAATCTGTGGTGTGGGGATGCCGCTTTTTGATTTTCTCTTTTCTTTTTTCTTTACCTGTTCCTCAAATGCACGTTGGAAGATGCCGACGAGGCGGGTGGGGGTGGGGGTGGAGCACCCCTTTCCCTGATTCTGACAATTGTTAGCATTTGTTAGTGCGTTGGAGGTCGTACTAGGTGTACTGTGTTATTATTTGCGGGCTAGTTTCTCATTTCGGCTTTGACTCGCGAATCTCATCTCTTTCCTATCATTCGTGCGCGCGCGCGCACACATGTGTGGTACGTGTGTGTGTGTGTGTGTGTGTGTCGATATGAGTGACGTTACAATGAGCAGCTTTCCGACTGGCGCAGAAATCAATATTTGTGCTTGACCTTGAATATAACGCGGAAACAATTGAAACATTTTCGCGCGATTTTCGGTAATGTTTAACTTAATTGTGCGGAAGAGAGATTTAGCGAATCGTTCGTGCTCCTACTATCACGTGAACGATCATTTCCGGGTTTTTTTCGCGGCTTATTTCGGTGATTTCGCTAAAATCTCCTGACGTTAGCACGAAGATAATTCGAGCGCGTATTCCAATTGAAGAGCCACGTAAATCGGTCGTTCCTTCACAATAGCGTGTCGCGACGCTTCTTTTTATCGCGCATATGTATCTCTCGGTAATACTTAAAAATTGAACGTTATGATTATGGTCGTCTCGTCGATCCGCGGCATCATACGAACCGGCAGCGCGCAGTTACGTAATCTCTCGTCCTCGTTTTAATGTAGTACGTATAAAAATACTATTCTAAAATGGTCAACCGGCTGCACGCGTGCTGTACATATGCTAAGAAGTCTGCAGTTTTGGGATAAAATCGACAGCTTCGAGATAAATATATTGTACGATACACGCTCGGAAAAATCATTTGGCTGTTGCGGCGAAACCACCGTTGCCACTGCACATTCGTGGCGACAGCGATAAAATTTAGTTGGCATAACCAAATTAATAATAATAATATTAATAATAATAAACCGGCGAATTAGAGCAGAACAGTTTTGTTGCCAGGATAGAAAATATTCTGTTGAAAGTAAACTTATCCTTAGGACACGTTAATTTGCTGTTAGAACAAAATAGTGTTTTCCTACATTCACTAATTTGTTCTCTTACAGCAAAACGATTCCGTAGATTCGGCAAACGGCAATTAGTACTCTTAACAAATCGTTTTGCTGACCATATCGTAATCGTCAGATCTTACTGCGACAGCGTAAAATTTGCCGGCAAATTATTTTTCTTCGTGTATAAACACTTATAAACGTATCGAATACTTATGTTATACAAGTGTGTAAGTACTTAGGTCGATTTCTCGCACGAGTGGTGTACGGGTGAGGCATCGTAGGACTTAAGATCGTTTCTTCAGTCTGTTGTGCCTCCGATCAATTTGCGGTCCCTTATCGACGTGACCAAATTGGCCGGAGAATTCGCAGCTGGAGGAAACGACGACAGTTCCGTGACACCCCGCATGATTTTGTGTGTGTACACGTGCATGTGTGTATATTGTATGTATGTATATATATACTTATGTATCATCTTTTTGTTCTCTCTCTGATTTCACGTATATTCATGACGCACGGAAAAGCTACAACGAAGCTAATACGAAGAATTATTACGAGAACATCTGAAAGACCTCTAGAGCTGCTTCCACGCACACCATCCTCGACCATCTTCGACTCTCCTTCGTTTCTCTAAGCTCGGAATAATTCGCGCGTAATCTATTCGTATTGCTATTCGATGCTCGGGGGATTTGTCCTCTAAGAGAAGTTCGGACACTACACGACTCTTGATAAACTCGACTTACATCTTCGCGTCTCGCGAAACTTAATCGACTTTAACGCGTGCTAACTCTTGAAGTACGGCCGGGGTTTTATCGCTCGATGTGGCGCTCGTCGTAAAAAATTCTCCCTCTTCACGCTCTAACATGTAACAACATACCTACGTTACGTTCTCGCATCGTTCGCGTTACTCGCTATCTCGTTGATGATCGCGGTAAAAAAGACACCGGGGAAGAAGAGACTTTCTTATAACGACGACGCGCTCTTGTTCGGCCGCGCCTACTCTCTGCCTACACTCGTCGCACCTAATAACGCCGTTTGGGAACGCGAATTGGGATTACAAGTGTTTCCATCGCTCTGTCTCTCGTTGGGACGCAGTCACTACGGCTCCCTACGACTAGCGCCAAAGGGCGACGAACGAAACACAGTAGAAAAAAAAAAAATAGAGAGAAAAACGCGAATCGCAGAGCGATAGAATCTTCTTCTTCAGTCTTCCTCACGTCCGGTCTAACGCCGGGCTTCGACATGGCCTGGAATACGGGCGGAGACGGTGCTTAACCCTTTAAGGCTCAGTGTACATAATAATGTACATTAACTTTAGGCCTTCCACAAATTTCGTCCGTTGGTAAAGCAATGGTTCCATCGATACAACATTATCATCCTAAATGGAGTGTTTTCCCAGCTGAAGACCGATACGTGCAATCGCACGTAGAGCAACTTCGCCGGGGCTCGGATTTATATCAAGTTATCTGCGAAAAACGTACATTCTGTTTACGAAAATTTTGCCCGATGTTCCCCTCAACAACTAACGGCTGCGTTCCGATATTCACTGCCGGTGAAAATCTATAATATATATAACATGAAATATAGATTTTCAGTACTGCCCGCATGAATATCGGAATTCAGTCTAAATTATAAAGCGGAAAATACATATTTTTTAAGTGAAACAATTTTAATATTTTCTCATTTTTACACCTCAAACGTTGTCGACGTACATGATTATGTACATTCGGAAAATCGTCCCGCTTCTCAACGGCCAATTTTATCCGGGCGAAACAATTGTCACCGGGGACGTCTATTGAGACGATTTTATAAATAACAATTTTCCCCCAACGGATCGTGTCGGCCTTAAAGGGTCAAGGGAATTCCTATTTCATTCGTTCTTTCTCACGGCTCAGCTCCCGTTCCCGCTGATACGTCGGGCGCGAAGAGTACCCTTCTCTCTCAGCCGAAATGGGTGAACGGGACCCAATTGGGATAAGTGAGCGGTGGCTGTTGGTGTGGCAGTGCGTGTGTGTGATAATGTAAGCTACGGCCGGCTCCTGCTGGCATTACTGGAACGGCAATCGCTGATTGACCGGCTTGATGAGCCTGATGCCCGACTATGTCTACGAACGGGCCCGCCGTGCTGGCGGCCGCCGCCGCCGCCGTGCCCGCTGGTGGTGGTGGCGGCATCGCAGCGGTCCCCGCGGCCGCCGCCGCTGCGGCCTGGGCGGCGGCCGTGTGGCTTGTGACATAGTACGGATTGTGTGCGGGCGGCCTCACGCTGCAATGGCAGGCAGGACGGACGGACGGATACAGTCGTCGCAGTTGCGTTGGGTTGCAGTTCGTAGTCAGGTACCAAAGGACACCACAAAACCAAAAGCACAAAGAATTAGCCCAAGGAAGAGTGAGAGAGAGAGAGAGAGAGAGAGAATGAGGCGCGCGCGAAGAGAGAGTTAGGAATGCGGGAAAAGTGAAGGCGCGTGATTTTTTCTTCTGGGTACACGTGAATCGTAACAACTCCTCCTCCTTTTTCTCCTTTTCTAGCGCGTTTCATTGGCGGCGAAGGTCGAGACATGCTTCGCTCGAAGCGAATTATCATATGGTCTGTTCTTTTTAACACTGAACTGGCTGCACCAGTTCATGAAATTTACATACACATTGAAGCGTACGTATGAGATTCTCACGCTCCGGTGTGCGTAAATTTCTTCAACTACGCGAGAAAGAATGCTGAATCAATAAAATTTAGCAACAGCAGCGTAATCCGAGTGAATTTTCTCGATCCCATGGCAGGTGTTATTAAAATTAGTCGTGTCGTATTGATAAACATATGTAATTATGTTACATGTGTTTCGATAATTAAAGTATTAGTTTCAACGATATCGCTGTTGAATCAAGAATATTTCTTCCGATTACGCTGTTGGAAATTCTCTATTGATTCAACAGCATTTTGTTTCCATGCGGTCAGTTTAGCTAAAAAGAGCAGATCGATAATTGTCGCGTCGTCTGTGTTAAAGGGACGATCGGTGGGTTAGAAAAAGAAGATTCAGGAAGGAGGTTTCACTCTCGATCCTCGCCGAGGACTTGTAAGTTCCGAGTCTCGCGATTCGAAATGTCGGGCCCAAACGCGAAATCGTGAGCGCGCGACTCGCGAAACTAACGCGGATTCGTCTCGCGGGTGTGCGATCGCAGGTGTAAAACCCTCGACTGCTCGTCGAGACCCGTCCGAGGGGCAGGCAAAAAACACAGAGGGCAAGATCTAGTTCCTCTGTGTGTGTATGTGTGTTACTGCACATTCACCGTGAGGTAGTGCCGCGCGTCTCGCGACAAGGGACAACTGTGTCGTGCGAAGTGCGAACTGTGTGGACGCGCGAGAGGAGCGGTACAGAGAGACGGCAGAAGCGGCGAAAGCGACTGAAAGCTCTGTTAAAAAGGCCGACGACGCGTAATGCGTGATTTTCTTTCCCGGCTACCGCTTCCGCGGGAAAACGCGCACGGAGATACCCTACGTAGCCGACTAACGACATAGACTCTCGTCCATAAATTAATTTTCCCGTCAGCTAGTGCTGGAAAACCACCACCGCTGCAGCGGAGAGAGAGAGAGAGAGAGAGCGCGTGGTGTTTCTTGTACGGCCGAGTATATTCAAGCGCAAAAGCAGCGTCCGCTTTCAAGAAGGATACAGAATACGATTCGTGTAAATATTCTCGGCGAAACTGGCGGTGTTGTTGTAATATAATTAATTTGCGAGCAGATAGAGAAAGAGAGAGTAGAGGGAGAGGGGGGGGGGATGAGAAGAGACTCGAAGTTCCGGCGCAAATTTGACGATTTACTCGCATGTATTAAACTCCTCTCTCTTCTTCTCTCTCGCGCGCACGAACGACGTAAAAGACGAATTTTGACAGACCTTACGTGGGGTGGATTGAAAGACAGAGATAGAGAGGAAGAGAGATACTCAAAACAAAAATGAAAAAAAAAAAAGATTATACGACAGAGTCAGAAGAAGCACGAACAGAAGCAAGTGCGAATAAGGACAGTCCCAGTATGTATGCCCGCTTCCAGTAATGCCAATCAGGTTGAGGTTGATATCACGACGGCGACGCGAGCATGAGTACACAATATAATTGCTGCCGACACACGGCCGTTCTTTCGATAACACATACACGGGCACATGATATATGCGTGTACGATCGTGCGCTTGTGCGTAACATCGTATATCAATGAGCCACCACAATTGTCAAAGCCCATTCTAAGTAGCTAAAAAAAAAATAAATAAATAAAGAAGACGGGTATAGAGCGTGGATCCGCGCGAACGTCTCGGCGAGTGTAACGAAAATAATAAGCTGATCAGCTGTTCGAGAGAGGAATTAATTTATGGACACGACGTCATGTATTATTGCTCACTTAGAGGCATGCGGCGTGACACGCGAATTTAAGGCACGAGATGACTCAACGGGACGAATAACAACGTATAAGGAAACGGAAAAAGATAACGTGTTCGATAATGCCGATGAAAGAATGAGGCCGCAACTATCTGCGAGAGCGTGCGTTCGAAGCACTCGAACTCATTTCCTTCGCCGATCGTCTTTATTTCATTAAGCATTCCCCGTCAAGTCTGTTCGATTCCCGTCGAGCGATGTGCGGAGTTTGCAGTTACTCTGGGCTGAAATCGCGACACAGACTTCCTGACGTCACTCTGGCGATTACCAACACGTTGACTGCCGCGTCGATTTCAGTCAATTGTACACAAAGTGCAATTCGATGATCGAATGAGGAAAAACACGGTAAATGCAACTCGAGATAAGCCTATCACTCATCTCGTTTCATCGGCTCTCTACCGGCCGTACAATCGAATTACTTTTCTAATATAATTAATTATACTTTTTATACGACTCGATGATACACGCAGTAGTATCACGATATACCGGATGAGCGGTCACGGCATTCAACGTGTCAACAGGTCCAGGTTTGAAGAAGAACTTCTTGCGATTCTGTCGCGCGTCAGTGTCTGTTTACTCGTTTACGCGATTACTCGTGGGACGAATCCGGTGAACGAATGGGACGTGTGCGGCTGTACCTGTTCTGAGCGATCTTTCTCAGCGTATCCGGGCTGCGTATGAGCTTGTCCAGAGTCTGCGTGAGATTGGCGAAAGTGGGCCGATGGGTGCGCTCCTTCTGCCAGCAATCGAGCATCAGCTGATAGATCGCCTCCGGACAGTCCATCGGCGCTGGAAGCCTGTAGCCCTTCTCGATCGACTTGATCACGTCCTGATTTGACCAGTTCCAGTACGGCCTCTCGCCGTACGACATCACCTCCCAGCACACGATACCCATGCTCCACACGTCGGAGGCGCTCGTGAACTTTCGGAACGCTATCGCCTCCGGTGCTGTCCACCGTACCGGGATCTTCCCGCCCTAGTTAGGAACGATTGAGATTAGATTAATTAATAGGGGTACCGAGATGGTCGCGAACGCATTCACAGTGTGTGTGTGTGTGTGTATATATATGTGTGTGTTCGAGCCTTTCTAGATAACACAAACTTCTAAAAGGCGTCTTAAGGTGAATACCCAGTAAGTAAGGAATTATTAACACTAACTACGTTGCTACAATGATATTTTGCAACGTTTTCAAATATGTAGTTCTTAAACGTTGTATACAATGAACGTCATTGTTAACGATATTTGACCCAGATGTTAAAAATCATATTTTTACATTATGATTTCAATATTTGGGAATATTATGTTACCTGATAGGAATATAATATTGCATTATCAGACAACAGTTTAAAAACATTAATAAAATATTATGTCAAAATGTTGATAATATCCACATGAAATATCGGTTCCAAAAGGTTGATTCAACGTTTCTCTTGAATGCTTACTGGGCATACACCGAGGAAACGAATAACGAACAGCGAATGTGTAATATGTTGGATAAAGTTTAATAATAATAGTAATATAATATGAATACGTATTTCTAAACACGCACGAACTTTCCTTGATGAACCACCTTATAATACATACAAAATTGTAACAACGAAATTCTGCATTCATTGTTTGTTTTCGCTTATTGTATATACCCAGTTTCCAAGACATGTGTATATAAAAGATGTTTAAAAAATAGGTTTGATAAAAGCGGTAGCAAAAGACATTCAAAAAAGTAGTCTTTTGGATGCTTGATCCGGCTTCCTCCGGCCGCGTCCTCGTGTGAATTTACTTCCAGGAATTTCCAGATCAAGCATCTCTTCACGGAAGCGTAAAATACATCAGGTGACTTTCGGACGTCTTTTGAAATGTCTTTTAGAAGCGTGCTCTGAGAGTTTAGAAGCTGAATTTTCGTCGCATTTCAAGCTGACTTTCAAGTTACTTTCGTTCGGACGAGTCTGTCGGGCTTGTCGCTCACCCTGGTGGTGTAAGCTCCCTCCGTGGCGCTCTCGATCTCCCTGCTCAGTCCGAAATCGGCGATCTTGCAGACCAGGGCGGCGTTTACCAGCACGTTCCGCGCAGCTAGGTCGCGGTGCACGTAGTTCATCTCCGCGAGGTACTGCATGCCGCTGGCGATGCCGCGCAGCATGCCGACCAACTGCAGCACCTGGAACTTGCCGTCGTTGGCGCGCAGGAAGGTGTCCAGGCTGCCGTTCTCCATGAATTCCGTGATGATCATGACCGGATTGCTCTTGGTCACGACGCCCTGCAGGAATATCACGTTCGGGTGTTCGAACTGGCCCATTATCGACGCCTCCGTCAGGAAGTCGTTACGGGCCTTGTCCGCGGAGCCCGGCTTCAGGGTCTTTATGGCCACGTCTATCTCCGTCCGTCCGTCCGGCGGTAATTTCAATTTCCCTCGGCAGACATCGCCGAATTCACCGCCACCTGCGCTCACGGGAGACAGTCGGCGAGAATGTAATCAGCTTCCAATCGTTCCGATTCTGACCGCGCGCTGACTATCGGCGTGTTATCGCGACAATAATGCATGTCGATAGCCGTCGGCGGGCATAATGCGCAAACCGAAGCTTACCTATGATGGCCTCTATCGTGATGTACCCGGCGTCGATCTCACGGGCGAACTCCCGCACGGCCTGATTCGGGTCCTCGTAGGTGTGAGGATCCACGTAGCTCCTCGCACCTGCGCCGCCTGTGCCGCCTGCGCCCGCCGCGGCGACCCCCACTGCAGGTGTGAACAGCGGCGTGGTCACTGCAACGTCACGAAAACAGAGTTCATTATATTAACACGAGGGCCGGTGTGCGTGCGCGAAATTTTGATTGCGGAAACTTTAGACCGCCGCGCCAGGCATTCGCTCTCTAATATCGCTCGGCCAACCCGCGCGCAAAAAGAGAAACGAAAACAAAAAAAAAAGATAAAAAAGAACACACTCACACTCATTCGCTCTCGTCAGCGAGTTTGTAAATTTTCAAAGAAAGAAAAGACCAAAAAAATTAGAACAAGACACAACCAAGAAAGCCAAACGCAGGTGGACTCTAAAAGTGATATAATCACTCCTCTCCTAGTCCCATGTAATTAATTAGCGAAAGAGTCGTCACGCTCTCTCTCTCTCTCTCTTCTTCTCTCCCTCTCTCCTTTCTCTCCCTCTATCTCTTTCTCTCTCTCTCTTTCTCTCTCTCTCTCTCTCTCTCTCTCCCCTTCCTCTCCCTTCCCTGTGTGCTATCTTAGAATATCTGGTTTGTTTAAATGTTCGAGCCGAGACCGGTGTATCTATGTACGCTAAAAAGTAATTCGCGCATAGCCAATTTTCAACACATGCCAATCAACGCACGATTTTTCGCATGCCCGTATGCCGAAAGTATACATATATATACATATATGTATATATGTATATCGATCGTCCAAACGATCGTTGCGATATATCCGAAAAATCCAGTGATCAACGCCGCTACACCCGGACGCTCGAGACGATTCCAAGTTTTCTCTCTCTCTCTCTCTCTCTCTACATTTGTTCTCAAATCGCTGCACTACCTCTCCGCTTTTAGTTTCTACTATTTTCCGCGCTGGTTTCCACTCGAATCGTCTCGCTGCGTCCGAGCGTCTTCCACAGCATACCGAGGTAAAGAAGAGAAAAGCGATCGCGGAAAGCACGATCTTACCTGAGAGAAGAGAAATAAAAAATCGGAAATAAAAAACTGGATGCAAGAGAACATGATGCAATTGCGTGCGAGACACGAGGCCGCGGCATGCTTATATATACTTCACTTTTTTCCCGAACTTTTCATCCATATCGCACAACTAGGACAGTGAGTAAGAAAGAACAGAGAACGGAGTGCCAGCGTAAAACTAAAGCGAAATCATAATACGCGATATAACGTGGAGAACTCGGAGTGAGTGTGCGAGAGTGTCGGTGCGCGAGTTTCGATTGATGCTAGATTTATATATCTTTTGTTTTTTTTTCCATATACATATATAAATAATAAATATTGTTCTCGGATGTGTCCGCGCGCTTTTTCTCGGTCGAAGAATTTTGGCCGGAATTTCCTTGGGAGGCAAAGGACTTACGCGAGGACTTGCTCTTGTTGTTGGTATGGGTTGTCACAATCGGTGAACTGTCCATTTTGCAGTGCACTGTGAACAACACAACAACCAACACACTAATTGACAAACAGCAAAACAAAAACAAAGCGGCGGGTGTTCGATGATGTGAATCTTTTTTTTTCTTTCTCTCTCTCTCCCCCCTTTTTTTCACAATGAACGTAAAAGCGAGAAACGGCAGAAATCAAGAAAAAAGAAAACAAAAATAGATCTCGACCGCGACCGTTGTGAATGTGTGAATGTGTAATCGAGCTCACTGCTCCCGATGATTGACGCGTTGACTTGAGAAGAAAGAAGCAGAAAGGAAAGATACGTTCTCCTAAGTCTGGTGGGTATTTCACTCTTCCTGCTTACGCGTTCGTCGTTTTCGTTCTTTCTCGAGTCGTTTCGAACGAAATGCAAGTCTAAGAAGCGCATACACATGACGTCGACATACACTGACAAATGATACGCATGCAATTAATACGCAACGTACAAACGATGCGACACAACGAACATACGCAAGCACAATGCGCGGGCACGCACAATGTCTTTATGAAGTCAACTCGGTCGTGTGCAAAATTGTTCGGCGCGCGCGCGTGTATATATATATGCCGTATTGTTCGTTTGTGCGTGCGTACGTATGTGCGTGCGTGTGACAAATGGTATGTACGTGGACGTGTGTGTATGTATGTATGTGTGTGTGAACGCGTGTACAAAAGCGCAAGTCTGATCTGTTCGAAAGTGTCTTTGAATCGGAGATGCATGTACAGGGGTTGCAAAAATAATCTACACAAAACTGAGTTCCTAGAAACAAAACTTGAGGTGTTGGAGAAGACTTACTGTAGGTCACAACTAGTCCTGTAGTAGCAGGCGATTGTGTACATTGTTTCATTGGGTTTTTTCATGGATTTTTCATGGAGGCAGGTTCGATAGATTAGGGGAATCGCACATGAAAAGAAAGAATCGAAAGAATTTGGTTAGAATAATGGCACTTAGGCTGCGGGCCAGATCGTGTGTGAATTTCGGTCGAAAGCGATCGTTTCTCATTTTACGTCCCTGTTTATCGCGGGTATTTCGGAACCCGAACTGCTTTCTCTCTCTTTTTCTCTTTTTCCCTTCGCTCACATATATATATATATTTTTTTTTTCTATACGGACGAACATTTAGCTATCTGTCTGTGTCTTTTTCTCTCTCTCTCTCTCTCTCTTTTTCTTTTTCTCTCTCTCTCTCTCTCTCTCACTCTCTCTCTCTCTCTCTCATCCGCAAAAAAACTCTACAGTACGGGGGGATGTTTGAAACGTAATTGTATAACGTGGGTCTGTCTGTATACGGGGGTACAGTTTCGACACTTGCTGGATCTAAAAGACGGCAAGAAGGGTGGGGCAGTGATACTCCAATATATTAGTCACAAGACACGATTAGGCGCAATGAAACAACTATGAAAAGTGACGGGGGGGGGGGTNACAGTAGCGATAATAAATTTTAAAGAGAGAAAAGCCGGTGCCGTCTCGGCATCGGACGAACGTACCTTCGCCGTTCCTGTACTCCAGAGTGTCGCAGTCGCTCGGCTGCTTCTTGTTGCACTCGTCCGAGGCCCTGCTGCATCGAAATCGCATGATATCAGTTGAACTGAGACAATTTAACTGAAAAGCAGCGACTTGACGACGAAAAGAAAAAAGGAAGAGGCGCGCACAGTTCGAGAACTCGCGCGAGTAACGAACGGCTGTGTGCGCGATCCCTAGTCGAAGTCACACAATTTTCAACCTTGTATGTAAAGCATAAGATTGAAAATTCGCACCGAAGCAACACTAGTTACAATGGTAGATTATAATAGCTCTAATTATAATAGTTTTAGGACCTTATATATACATGCGTGTGTGTGCGTGTGTGTACGTGAAAGACCAGAAATGGTGTTATAATTAATAATTAATGTGTTACGATAATGAAGACATTTTAATCTAGGAAATGGTACAACATAACGCCGATTGTATAATTCACTCGGACGTCGTACGATTTTCATACATAAAACGTAGAGCCAAAAATCGCAGAAGTAATACTAGTTATATATAATGGGCAGGGTTACAATGGTTTCAATTACAATTATAATAGTTTCGGCACGCGTGTGCACATACATGAGACTAAAACTGGTGTAATATAAAAAAAGTTTCAATTTAGGAACGGTACGGCATACACGGCGCCGACTGTACGCGTCTCTAGTTCAATTACATGAACCGGACAACGTCCACGGACGGTGTTCTCTCTTATTATTAGATATATACTGAGAGCGTGATTCAATTACCTTCTGAGGATCAGTACGGTCATGATGATAATGATCACGAGGAGCACGACCACAGCGACGATCGCCCCTGCGATTATTCTAACTTGCATGTTATCGTTCTCGCCAACGTAGTCTGCGTAAATGCTCACATTAAAGATACGGCTCGGAGGATTGCGAAATGTATCCGAATGCCGCTCACGCTTACCTAGACCCATCGCGTGGGGTGTCTTCTTAAATACCACCGGCGTGTACTCGCCCCAGCCGCGGGTGGTCTTGGCGCGAACCTGTATCGCGTAATCCGTAGAAGGCTTGAGACCTTTGAACGTGGCGGACAGCTCGGACGTTTGAATGACGGTTGCATTAGTGGCGTCGTCGTAGCGCGGGTAACACCTCACTGCGTCAGATATCGAGACGATTATAATCCTTTCCCTGCCCCTCCCGGCGCGACAATTTGGCCCGAAATGAATGATCGCGCGCACCGTGACCGTGAAAAAGTGTATCGACTAACCTTCGTATCTCTCCACGAGATCGCTGTCCCCGCCGACTTCGATGACCGGCGCGTCCCAGCTGATGCTGAGCTCCGAGCTCTTGACGCTCGTGATCCTAACGTTGCTCACCAGACTCGGCACACTGGCCTCCGTGGTAACGGTGATGTCCACGTATTCCGATTTGCCGGCCAACGACGATACGCCGTTCTCGGCGAAGACTTGGAAGCGATAAGTGGTCACCGCGTTCAGACCGGTTATCGTGATCTTCGTATCGTTGAAGATCTCCTGCGTCGCGAAAATCAAAGCGATTCAAGTCTCTGACCTGAGAATAGCTCTCTCTCTCTCTCTGACTCGACTACCAGCGCGGTAGCCGACTACTAGTAATCTCTAAAACTGCCCCCGTGCATGCTCGTATACGCGTGTTGTTAGACTTTGAAGGAAACTCACGGTATTGGGAATGTACTTGACGCCCATGCTGCAGGCGTCGCAGACCACTCTGTAAGTCGTATCGAACCTGCCACCCTGCATGTGCGGCGCGTTCCAGGAAAGGATCACCGTGGACTGATCGACAAAGTTGACGGTCAGGTTTTGCGGCGCCGAAGGTGGTTCTGCAAGAAGCATGATTCTTCAACATTTTCGCCGAACGCAATCTCCCAAATTTTTTCTCCCCTTTTCTCTTCTCCTCCCTTCGCCACGGACTAATATGCTACATCCATTATATTAAACAGCCAATAATGCGCTCGCATATTGGAAAATTTGTCTTCTTAATCAATGCGGCGGATAGTGAGAGATCATGGATATTGACAGACTTCGGTTGCTCTTATTTGCACTGGATTCTCTCGGCTGAAGAATTCGAACGTTTCGGAAATTCTTTTCAACATTTCGACAATTATTTCGTTTTTCTAAACTCTGAGACGGTGAGACGGAGATAAACGAATTTTCTAATTCACGGTTGATTTTGAATTTTGAATTAGAAAATTATAATTGAATTCTCTGTCTTTGTTTTTAATAGAAATATTATACATATATACATAAATTACAAGGTCTATATAAAAAAGAGCGAATTGTCGATATGAGAAAATTAAAGCTCATATTAATAGTCATTGCTTAAAACTTGTCTCACGTCAGATATTCAGATCTGAATTTATCGACGCATTTGAGTTTTCCATTCGAATCATACACATGACATTGCCTTTCTAATTGCGATTCAACTGAAAAACTCACACATTTTACTCTAAATTTTAGTTTGATCTGTGTGTCTCATTAAAAAAAAAATAATAATAATTAATATACCTAACTTAACCTAATTTAATCTGAGTACACCAGCTGAGGCAAGGTTTCAGGTAACGACTATTAATACAAGTCTGAGAGCGGTTGAATGAACACTCACGCGTGCAGGGCATGTTCTTGGGATCCTTCTCCGCTCGATAATAGGTCGGGTCGCAACGACACTCCGTAAAACCGTAATCGGAGGCTTTGCTGTGCTCCGGACAGGGCTCGCAGGTGTGGGAGCCCGACTCGTGCTTGAATTTGCCTATCGCGCACTCCTTGCACTCCTGCTTCTCCTTGTCGGCCTGATAGCCCGGCTTGCAGTGGCATTCGCCGGTGGGGAGGTACCATTTCCCGTCTCCCTTGCAGAGGTAGATCGGATTGTCGATTTTGACGGCGTTCGCGACGCAGGTGCCGATCGTTTGCTCGATAAACGTGACCTCGCGGCCGGTCGGCGTGGACGGGAAACGGGCGAAGTTCACCGAGATCTCCGGACAGCTGATGTAATACACCTTGATGGCCAAGATCGATATGCAGGCGCCCTGATCGCGAAACGCGAAGTAAACGCCCTTCTTCGTCACCGGTATCGATTTCACTTCCGTGTTTATTATAACCTCGGCATTCGTGTTGAACCTTCCCTCGCCCGCGGCTATGCGACCTGCAAACGTCAGATCGTCGCACTTTGGAAAAGCCGTCCCAGATATCGGACACGAGATCTCGTGTCGGTCGAAGCAAGAGAGATGCGCGCGTGGAAAACAAAAAAAAAGCTATATCAATCGAATAATTCCAATTTGTCGTTCCTGGAATCCCCCCGATTCCCGCGTCCAGATTGCGGCTCCCAGAAAACGTACGCCTCGTGATATTTCTTTTTCGACAAACGCGAGCGGCCGATCTGTTAAACCTGTTCTCCTCGGCACGCTATCCCGCTTCGTAGCTCCCTTCTCTCTCCCTCTGCGGAACGAACTCTTCAATTTTCACGCTTTATTACATCATCGCTCACCGATAAGTTTGTAACTGTCCGGCTCCCACGGAGGCGGCTCCTTCGTAGCGGCGTCGAACTCGTAATAGAGCAGACTGAAGGTCTCCTTACAGCTGAGAGCGTTCCCGGGGAACAGCGAGCAGTCGCGGGTCGTGAATTTGATTTCTATGTACATGCGGTTCGCCGGGCCCCGCTCCACGAACGGCGTCCACAGCCAATTGTTCACGTTGTTGTACGCCACGTCGCACACCACGTAACTCCGCCAGTTGATGCCCTTGTCGAAGTTCGTGAAGGACTCCTCCACCCACTGCAACAGAAATGCGAAAAACAAACGATGATTATCTTTCTTTCCGTCTCTCCTTCTTGACCGATTACAACTAACGAGAGAGAGAGTGGAGGGCGTTCGGCACTTAAGAGCCGCGCGACTCTAACCCAGTTCTCTCTCAGCCACCGGGCGCGAGGAATCGCTCTTCCGCCGCCTCCGCCGTCGTCGTAAGTCCACATTGGCCGTAACGTCCTACCTCGGTAAATGACGAGGCGGAGAGGCCAGGTCGTCGACTTGCGACAAACAGACCGCAAGGAATTACCGGCGCGCGTTACCATTAGTTTTATTGCCCCCCTCGGCTCTCGGGCTCGTCCCGACCGCAAAAAGTTTCGACCGGGGCAAGAAGGATCCATCGTCGTCGTCCTCGTCGTCACCTGAACACCTCTCTTTCTCTCCTCCTCACATATTCACACATACACACGCATTCTCTCGCCCCCTCCGCCCACCCTCGTCTCCTCTTCCACCGTCTTTTTACGCGCTTCTTCGCTCTCGCGTATTTCATACACGGACCAGGAAAGACTCGGCAGGTAAGGAGTGATAAAAAACGGTAGACCGAGGTAGAGAGCTTCGAGCCTCTCTTATCCAGAAGATTTCCTCGCGGACGTGTTTCCGGCAGGCGGGCTGCAATAAATTCAGCCGCGCCGGCTACCCGGTTGCAAAAGGGAGATTATTACGGGGACGATGACGAGGTCGAAAAAATTTCATTAAAGCGGTGCCGGCGAAAAAAAGCTTTTTCAGCGCGGCCCGCGCACCGAAAGCACCGGTAGCCGGCAGAAGACCCCGGCAGGAACACAGTTCCGCATTTCGCGTCGTCCACGCTTCGAATTACGATCCTGCCGCTGCTGCCTTTCGCACGCCTCCGATCGCAATTAATAGTTTTTAGCGAGGTTTGCGAAACCGGATTTATGGCCCCAGCGAGCGAGGGATCGAACCAACACACAGCTTGTGCACTTCTGCACGATAAAATATCCCCATTCGGCTGTAATTAACAATAAGAAAGTGTCCCGTTATCGCGCAGGAACGCACGAATAGAAACGTAAGAAATTCGTACATTTCGCCATTTTCTTTTCTCATTCGCCGACTGTCGTTCCATTTCCCCGCCGAGATATTTCTCCCCGTGATCCCTCGTTGATACGTTTCCTCCCCTCCGGTTCGACCGCCTTCCGCAACCGGGGGTTATTAGAGAAGCGAGAGAATGCATCACACCGTCATCCCCACGGCCGCTGTTTACTTCGCCGCGGTTCTTTATCGCCCGGGAAATTTCATTAGGACGGGGTAAAATTCATCCTCCTCCCCCTCTCGCCAGGAAGGTTCCACGGAGGCGCGTCTATGCCTCCTTCTTTCATCGCGCCCGAGCTCCGTGGAAGGGAAGGTGCGGGGGAGGAGGACGAACGTCGTTAACGCCGCACGGCGTTTAATTGGATCGCGAACGCGCCGAGTCGTTCCCTCTTCACTCCTTTTTTCTCTCTTTCTCTTTTTTTTCTTTTTTACGAACGCACCGCTTCGATTTTTCGGCGAGACGGATTTCCCAGTGGCGAACTGGCGAACAAGCGCGATCGTCCCTGTGAAATTACTCATCGGAAAGGAGGAAAGGAGACGATTAACCCGACGTTATCCGCGGCAATCCCACGGCCTCGTTTCCGCCGTTGTGCGTGCAGATGCGCATTCGAGACCGGGACGCGCGACACTTTTCTCATTCTCCGCTCTCGGGAACGTCGGGTTTGCTCCGCGTCGCGAGAACGCCATGTATCACTGGCTCACAGGTGAAACTAATTTTCCCCCGCGTATTATTCCCGTGTGTTTCGCGCAATATGTGGTCTATAATATACGCGTGATTCGCGTGATGTATCTCAAATTACCGACGCAATCGAGTCCCATTTTTGACACTTTGTCTCTCACATGTGTAATATTTTTGTACGTATATTCCTACAGAAGTTATGAATTTATCAGACGGATTAAATTCCCACACGAGAGCTATGATAGCGTTATTCGTATACATATAACGATTTAAAGTTTCTTCGTCTCTCTTCATTAGTTAATAATAAATAATCTTTGATTCGATCGTTCGTATACATTGGTAATGTGAATTAGCGGAAGTGGGACGTTTAATTATATCCTAAGAGACTCGATCTAAGATTTTTTATGTTTTCATTATGAACTGTTACATATTTATGTGAAAGATAAAAATACAAGTAATTTGATCTTACATCTCGGATTCAATCGTTCGTATACAACGGATGGTAAGCTACAAGGTAAAAGATTTTGGGATAAATTTTAAATATTTCACATGTCGCAAACACACGCGTCCACAAATTTTTATGTCAATTTAACAGAAGATAAACATATGTATGTTGAGAAAAATAATATTTCAAAAATTAATATAAAATTAAGTATGTTAATCGACACTGAAATATAAAATGTGTTATTTTAACATTCACGCGTGTTGAATATCGACTCAACACGAAATATTAAGACAATAAATTAAATTAATACACAGGTACGTTACACATTTAACACAAAAATATTAACAAAAACCGATTTAACATAAAGAAGATATTGTTACTGTATAGTGTGAGCGAAAGTAGGACGAGGAATTGTATACTAATACGTCTAGAGAAATGTGTAACTTGATATAGGATGTTTATATTTCCATATTATTTTTTATATTTTCTGTTTTATATATTTCCACGAAAATTAAAAATTCAGAAATTTCTACTTTACATGTTTGATTCGACCGTTCCTATACATAAAGTAAATTAGCGCAAATAAGACGTTTAGTCGCATCCTAATGCGTCTAGTGAAATATGTGACACTTTATAGAGCATCATATGTTTTCATAAAGAACTGTTGCACATTTCCACGGAGCGTAAAACTACTGTCATTTGTTTGCACAAGTCACCGGGACTCTTGACAGGAATTTTAATTTGTGTGAATGTTGCGCACACGCAATCTTTGAAGTGAATAGTGAGTTTCCGGGCTCTGATGATTAACCATTTTTTTCTAGTCTGGGACATTCGGTAAAATACAAAATACAAAAGTACTATTTTTTGCTTGCACAGAACGCTGAAATCACCGGCAGAAATTTTTATCTTTGTGATTAAGTACGCGCGCTTTAACTTCGTCGATAACGGAGATATTCTGGATATTAGGTTTCAACAAACTATCTATTATTTTTGAATATTCAAAATACTGTATTACAGGAATATGGTAGTATCTAAGAGATACGCGTGACTTTCCGATCGCGACCGTCGGAAACAGACATGTTAAAACGAATCTTACTCCGATAAAACGTCAGCCTTATCGGAGTTAAAATCGGTTACTCAGTACCGATGTCGTCGAGACCGGTGGAACCGAAGGCGCAGTTTCTGGCCGGTGGATTCTTTCTTGGGCTTACACATACGGTTATTCCCTTCGCATTAAGTATGAATCGTGGGAAAATGTGCGTTTCTGTAGTGCGCGCGACAGTCGTCGATCGATAACTATTCGATGCTTCGAAAAGTATGCCGCGGTTAGCGTCTTCGCAGATATCGATCGCGCTCCGCTACCCACCGCCGCCGTCTCCTCCTCGCAGCAGGTAGACCTGTCTCGCTATTTTCCGCACCGGCGGCGACGGCAGCATGTGCTGCAACGCCTCGGATTTGCTCGGTGTTTATTCTCGTCGGAGGTAAAGCGGCGACGCTACATCTCCGGATGATAAATCGCGAGATGAATTAAAGCGTTACACTTGCCGTCTCCTTCTTCTCGTCCCTGTCCCTCGAGCTGAAGTAGAAAATCCTCGTTTTCCGTGTCGCGGAATAACGACGGCGAAATAACACCGACTCGGGATCGATTCTCGCGGTTTCAAAGCTGTTCGTCCCGCTTCGTGCCAGCGGGGACGTCGCAAAACTCCGCCCAAAAAAGAACAGAGGACAATGGGTGGTCCATTAAAGGACCATGTGGAAGCTACCTGCGAGCCAATCCTAGAGAACGTTACCTTCGCCATCCTGAGAGATAGGGAGAGGAACTTACCGGCGCCCATGGCTTTCCGGTTTCTTGCGGATCAGGCCGTCGCAGTAAATAGATACGAGTCGATGGCTCAGAAGTAAAGCCAATAAGCTCGCGTTGGAGATGAACGGAGAAAGGAAATAAATGTAGACGCAACGTCGACTCCCCCTCGCGGATGGGGAGCTGCCCCTTCGCGTAATATCGCCACCATAATCGCAATTCCGACGGCGTAGTCCCGAATAGGGAGGAGGTTAACGTAAGAGAGAGTAAGAGAGTCTGCAGGAAGACTCCGACGAGCAGACGGGCGAAGGAGAGCTGCGAACTTTTAGTCCGAGGGGTTCGCGGATCTTAATATATATTGAGCCCTCGTGCCGGGTTAACCCCTCGCCCTTGGGGTTGAGGCTGCGTCGGCAGGCACGTAGGGGCTCTCCTCTTCGTCGAGCTACGTGCATCCGGCGCTGTGGACCGTTCACGACGGACACGTACCGCATCGCAGACGCGATCGAACTTTCCCCCGCTTGAACTTGCCGTCACCTGTCTCGCGATACCTCGGAAGAAGCGACGCTAATTGCATTCATGAAAGAACACGACGAGGCGTTTGATTAATTTCGCTGTTCGGTCTTTGCCACTTGCTTACGGTATTTAGCGCTTATTTGCCCGCGAAAAGTCTTCGAGGGAAATTTCAGCCGGGAGGTAGAGTGACAGCCGCCAGTCACTTCACGTTGAATATCTTCGTTCGAAATTGAAGAGTGAATCGGATACACGGTCAGTCACGAAAGGGTTGCAGCGACGAGTTTCGCAACGCATCTCGTATCCGGTAGGAAAATGTATCTTCTGAATATTATTAAAGAACAAGTTCCTTATTGTAGATACCTATGGAATGCCAATAAACTATTGGACGCGGGATGCGTTTCGAAACATATCGAAAAAATATTACAACCATTTTGTGATTGACTATATTTCCACTGTACGAGAAATAAATCCAAATAAAATTTGTT